AACTAAAAAATAAATATTAAAAATTCTCTCTCTCTCTCTCTCTCTCTCTCTCTCTCTCTTTAAAAAAAAATTGCTAATTATGGATAGTCCAAAGCAATTCCAGTTTCATACACAAACATAAAACACTATTCTATTTCAATGACAATATAGGTTACCTTGCTTCTCCCACACAAGAGAAAAATAGCTTTAAAATGTTCTTTAGAGTGTTTTAGAGTGAAGAGTCTCTAAACTTCACATCGAGGAGACCCCAGACCTTCCTTATCTTGATGGTTTGTGCTCTCATGAATGCAATTTAGAGAAGCCAATGGCTTTACAAAAATGGTGCCTGCATRAATTCCATACATACATAAAACCTGCTGAGGGCCATTGCCAAGTAGGAATGACGCATGGAAATTTCCTTGCCAGCATACCCCATGTTAAATGGACTTGCCTTGGAAATCTGCTGTGACCTTGCATGTGTCTTTGAGAAAGGTGACCCTGCTCAAGGACCAGGGTGGATCCAGGTTTAAGGTGTATCCTGCAGGTTTKAGGAAGTATCCCTGTTTAGGATAATTTGGGTTTAAGGCGTTCCCGGTTTAAGACAATCTGAGTTTTAGGGAAGTTCCAGGTTGAAGGTTATTGMTGCTGGGAATAGGGCRTTCCTGCTGCCTTGAGTTCTCSTGGAATTCAGAAAGTATTTTGGGACGTGAATTGTGCGGCAGAACTGGGATTTCCCCAGAACGTGTGTAGAGGCCGGTRTGAGTTCGGGAATAAAGAATTGCTGTTTGAATCTACAAGGTGTGTGGTAGCTCGTGATTCTGTGCCCAGCCAAGACTGCGGCACCCATGGRAGAAAGAGGAACATCTTAAAATGTCTACTAAATTGTCTTTTCTATTAAAAAAAAAAGTTTACAAACCTCTATTGTGAAGAGCAAATGCTGACAGTACTTCAATATTTCAAGAGCTTTGACGTCCTCCATACCATATCACTTCCTCTAAGTGGACAGTAGTAACCACATTTAATTCTTTCATCCAGAAAGAGGTTATAGTAAAAGGAATTGCTTAACYATTTTTGTTCTAATTTACATATATCAATATGAATTTATTTTAACTTAAACTTTGTCCTGAGGATAAGTTCWAGAGCTATTTTATGCATTCCAATACTTTTTTTTAAGGTATGAAGACATAAGCACACCCTCACCTTTATGTTTTTACCACTTTTTGTTTGTTGTGTATTTGTTTTGTTTCCTTACAAATAATTTACAGCATGGGACTCCAAAAATATCATGAAATTAGGCTACATTAAAAAAACTGATAGGTGTGGTGGCACACACTAGTAATACCAGCATACCCAGAAAACTGAGGTAGGAGGATCACAAGTTCTAGGCCACATTGGACAACTTACTAAGATYGTGTCTCAACTTTTTTTAAAAAGGAGAGACTGGAAGTATAGCTCAGTGATAGCGGAATTGCCTAGCATGGATTGYCTAGCAATCTCTAGTACTGACAAATTTTTTTGACAATTGCAAAATATGACTGCATGATGCAGGAGAGAGATTTCTTCTATTTCCTCCTTAGTGCTTATGTGGGCTCTTTGGCTAGATTTAGGAGCACAATTAATAGATGAACTGATAAACAAAAAAAAAGCATAAAGTTGCATTAATTTTASATGCACATGGGTATCTTCACAAGAGAGTGAAGTATGAAGAAATAGCCAAATATTAATCTTTTATATGTTTTAGACAAAAGAACAAAATTGTTTGTGAAGTCATTTCAAGATAAATGGATATCTGGACTGGGGTAGGAAATTCTAGGGATGTTACTAAGTGATATGGGGGAAGGAGACAGAAGCGAGAAGAAGATAAGGGTTACTTCAGAATTTGTTTGAGTTCACTACAGCCAGAATTATCAGTCACTGGTAATCAAATTTATTTTCAGCTTTGGTATGTGAAGGACAACCCTCCCCAATGAATCTTTATGACTTGTTGCATGTAGGAAAGTACAGGCCTCTGAAGTTACAATTCCTCAAGTAATTTCAGCTTAAAGTAATCAATATACTAGTTCAGCATACTGAGATGGCAATCTATGAAAGTATAAATTAAAATTTGGGATGTTTGGTTTATAGCATATTGGAAAGCTCTTTTGCAGGAGATAAGTTCCTTTTTTGGAAGATTATTCTAAAATTTAGTTTGTAAAACCATTGTCTATTTGAGCCCTTGAGGTATAAATTGTCAGCTCTATAGAGGGCTGGGAAATTTTCAGATGTTCAMTACACTTTTAATGATTGAATAAACAGAACTTAAAAACTTGTTTGAGCCCAAAGCATGAGAAAAACACTTTCAGATCAGTAAGAACAGGCAACTAAGTTTCCTTTTAAAATTCACAGTACCCTCAACTTGATATCATCCAACTTCTTTTAGTGTCCCTGGAGTGTAAATCRAGGGAAGGTGGCATTTTAGAAGGTCTGAACCTTTTTCATCTCTTGGCTGGTAGAATTCTAGAACATTTTCTCTGGATTTTCAAGCAACTGWAAATCTGAGCATTCACTTGAGCACGGAAGGGGAGGGTTATCTTACTTTCCTTGGAATTCCATTTAGACCCAAATGCCATTGGGTCCATGACTGCTTCTGAGAGGTGAGGAGAGCAGAGAACAGAGGTGGCACCCTGCATGCAAGGGGGAGGATAAGGGCACACAGAACATTGACATTCTCAGGGCCAAAAGACCAACTTGATTACTTCACRATCATGGTGCATGCCCATGCACAAAGTCCATGTTATGTATCTACAAAAAAATGCCAAAACACTCCTCTCCTGACCATGGCTTATTCAGAAGCATCATACAATAGGAAAGGAAGAGAAGCAGACAGCTCYGGCTCTTTAGTCTAAAACTGTGTTTATTTAGCTCAGCATAAAAGARCAGGGCTTGGACAGTGATCAGAACTTCTGCTTGATGGGGCAGACACAAGCCCCCAAATACCCTACTGTTTGTGTAGCAATGTATGGCTCTCCACACAGTTCCCAGGGAGCCATCCAACAAAACCATGGCATAAGCAGATTCCTATAGACCAGTTAAATCAGACCCGGTAAAATGTTGGCCCAGGGGGTGAATCTGGCTGGTGCAATTTTCTTTAATATTTATTTTTTAGTTGTAGTTGGATCAATACCTTTATTTTATTTATATGTGGTACTGAGGATCAAACCCAGGGCCACGCATGTGCTAAATGAACGCTCTATCACTGAGCCATAATCCCGGCCCCCTGGTACAATTTTTAAAGGGTTTAAATATAAAAATCCAAATTCCTAGCTTTTAAAAGAAAGAATAAAAATAAAAAGATCTGACCATTTGAACCTGGCTTGCAGTGAGACACCCCTGTGAGATCAAAGGAGGGCATCCAGAGGTGAAAGTCACCATACAGGTAGCAACTGACCTTGACCTTTGGGRGGAGACACTTCTTTGGTTCTTCTCCCATACTGATGAATGGACATGGTTAGTGGACTTCAAGTAACCACAGGGCACTGAACACAGATGCTTTAGCTAGAAAGCAAAGGCT